AATTTAAAATTGACATATTTGCATTAATTAACTAATTAATGAATATATTCTACATATTATATATATATATATATATATATATATATATATAGAAATCGGGTGTGTTTCATTACATAAGATAATATAATAATACCCAATTAATTTGATCTTCTAAATGTTTTTTTATTTATTTATAAAAATAATAGGTTTGATCCACAATAAAAGAAGAAATGGTAAAGGAATAAGAACTATCTTTAAATAATTTTGAAATGAAAAAGAATTTATTTGAATATTAATTGTGATGACATATTTTTGGGTTGGTTGTTTCTAGTAACATCTTATTGCTGCATGACTCATTTTGACAAATGCCATATATTTCTGACTTTATGGTGCTTTGCCTAATAGTATTTAATATATAATATTAGTTAATTATAATCTTTTATACTATATATATATTTAAAAAAAAATTTGAAAGCAAAATAATATATATTTTTGGCACTGTTATTTTTTTTATAAATTACTATAAGATTTTCAGCTTTTGATATAATTATGATAAAACAATCTAATATGGTTATCAGATGCACGTTTGATAAAATTGGTTCGCAAGAAATTTCTATGGCTCCGATTATTTAAATCAGCATATGTTATGAATATCATATATAGTTGGAATGAACTCGAATGATGTGTATGAAATTAATAGACTTTATTTTTATATGGTATTGATGTGTATGAAATGTTACAGAAAATTTCAATTAAAGTTTGGATTGACAATGAAATGTTATTCAACATTTGGTAAGCTGAAAAAAATGATAGTAATGAAGACTTGAGCAAAAATATGTATTGGCCAAATAAATAAATGTGAAGATTTGATGGGACAATAAAGTCAATTTATTTTGTGGACCTCAAAAGCAGCCATTAAATTTTAAGGTAATTGATTGATTTAATTATTTGAAGAGAAATTGCTTGCCCTACTCTTAAGGCATGTTTTGGACATATGTATATATATACGTATATAATGGAAAGAAAAAAGATAAATGATGTCATAAAACCCTCAAAATTAATTTCCCATAACAAAATCTGCCTAATTTTGTAGAAATAAATTTGTTGAAGAAAATGAATTGGTATTGTAATAAATTGCTAAAGTCTTTGTGGGGTATCTCCTAGTTAGGTTTTATGGGATACCCACCCCATGCCCTTAAAATTAACTACACAAACACGCACGCGCACACACACACACACACACACATATATATATATATAGACATGTATTGATTGGCAATTTTAGAATGCATTTTTTATAAGGCCACAAATAATAAATATTAATATTATTGAGATTATAATAATTAAATTGGGTCAATTCTTAATAAAATTATTATATTTTTTTATAGAAAAATATTATGTATGAATTAAATTTTTTTAATTGAGAAAACAACGATGAATAAATAACATGGCTTAAATTTTTTTTTTTTAATAAAAAAAGAACAATATCTATATTAGAAAGTGAAAGATTCGGTGTAAATATATTTATATATAGAGAGAGAGAGAGAGAGAGAGAGAGAGAAGAATCCTTAGCACTTTATGGAAATTCAATATTTTAATATTGAGTATTTGAATTTTGGTTGATATGCTATTGATAAATTACACTAGGGTATTTGGAAAATAAATGAGTAACAAAAATATATTTTATTTTTTAAATAAAAGTAATAAATTATTCATTATTTATGTAATAAAGAAAATAAATAATTAATATAAAAAAAATTGTCCAAAAGTTATTTTGGGTCAAAATAAAGAGAGGAGGTCAAGTGCGTGCATTTTATTTTATTTTATTTTTTGAACTTGTAAATAGAGTTTATAAATTTTTGAAAAATAATTACACAAGTACTGTTTAATTATATTTCTGTTTACTCATAAGATACACATAAATAATAATTATTTTACTTAATTTTTTAAAAAAAATTCATAAATTAATTAAAAATATATAAATGAAAAATAAATTAATTTCTAATAAGAGTGTTTTGAAATATATATATATATATATATATATATATTAGTAATTATTAATGAACTCAAAAGAGCCAAGACACATGAATGAAAATAAATTGTAACGATCTGGGACTTAAAAGAGAATAAAATTATAAATCAAATACGGAAGTGAAATAATAGAGTTAGAGTTTATATTTCTTACACAATAATTTAAAATACATAATAAGATTACGAGAATGAGCATCTTAAAAGAACAAACAAAAAATTAAGAAATAAATGAAATGTAATCGATTAAGTGTCTTAGGACGACCTTCACTAGCCTCTAAAGGGAATTCGGGTGGTAAACTATTCGCAACTCTCTTGTTGATTGATATCTGGATCTTGGTCATCAGAATCTGGATATTGGTTCTCTTGATCTGAAATGATTAATGAAAGGGTGAGCTACACTAATCTAGTGAGAATATTACACTACTCACCAATACAGAAATGAAGGTTGGTAAAAATCATAAAAATAACTAATTGAGCTCTTAATTTAAATAAATTCATTTATTATAAATAAAATTATTTATTGCATACTTACCGTAGCGAGATTTCTAAAAATTGACCTATAGAGATAATAGCTCAACAACATCATAATCCCATATTCAAGTAAGTGAGAATAACAACTTTCATTTTTTATCTGCCTACTGGTATTCATGAGGGTCCATAGGGATGTCTCTACTACGCGTGAGTCATTATTCAACATTGTCAATTAACCGGCCATCCCCATATCGGGTGCGTTATGAGCGCTAAAAATATCATCCCTCAATACCTCATCCGATATAAAGGTGAAATGGGTCGTCTCCATACTCCGTCCGGTATGGTGCCAAAATACTAATTCTCGATACCCCGTTCGGCATGAAGCGACGTTTACGATAAGGTTCCCTATATACCAAGTCCATCCACCATCTCCCAGGATATCCAGTAAGGCTACCATTTATTCATTCACTTAATCAAGCAGTTCTCGTTTACATTTAATTTTTAGTTTCACAATTTAACTATAAATTATGCAAGACAAGCAATACATGCATCAAGAAAACACAACTGAATCATCTTACCAATTCCAGTGTATTATTATGCATTTAAAACTGTAAAATCAAGCAATCAGTTAAAACATAACAAATAGTAATAAATAACCGGTTCTTCTTCTATTAGTAACCTGTAATTAATTCTCGAAGTTTTCTAAATTATGCAAAATACTGAATTGATAATTAAACTTCAATTCCATAATAAAAAATAAGGCGAGGGATCGTTATTCGAATCGATGTTTGAAACATTAAACTTTCAGTTGTGCCAATTGACAGTCCCTTAATTTTCTAAATTTTCCTGCGGAAATTAAAACACGCTTCATGTACTTAAAAATACTCTAAAAAAATCTAAAATTGGTGTTAAAACTCTTTTTCGGTCAATTTCGAAATTCTGATACGGCGGCATCACCGCTTGGGTGACAGTTTACCTCGAGCTGGCTGTTTTCGGCCAGTTTTGACTAGTTTCGACCGGTTTTATACCCATATATGCTAGAAAATACGTTAGGGGAACTTGGTTGGCCGAAAAAAGTCAAAAAATAAAAACTTACCAGCGGTGGAATTTTTCGGTGCAGCGGCTCCACTGGCTCACCTTTGCGATTGAGTGTTTTTCTTCGGTCAACCTGTAGAAAACAGAATGGTGAATAAAATGGTGAAAAAATTGCACAAAACGAAAATCAGAAAGGAGCTCATCGGAGGCAATTTTTAGTTTTTTCGTGGCGCCACCGCCAGGCTTTACCCGCGGTTTTCGGCTCATCCGCCGGTTCTTTTGCTCCGATTTGGCCACGAGGGTATTCAAAATCAAATTTTGAGTGAATGAGAAAATTTTTACATTTTTTAGCGGTCGGAGGTGGCTCCAGCACAACAGGGGATGGCGGCCGACTCTCTTCTCCGGCAACTGATTCTTCTTCTCCGGCAGGGGCCCAGCAATTAGGGTTAGAGTTCGGTGTGAAGTGAAATATTTATACTTATCTTCCTTAAATCTGTACCGTTCATCGCGTTTGATCTTAACTGTCTGATCTCATTTAAAGAAAAAATGAATTTGGCAGTTTATCGTGATTTGATATGAACAGTACGATTGCATTTAAAGAGAGAACAAATCTGAACCATTTATCACATTTAATTGCGATTGTCTGATCGCGCCTAAGGAGGGAATGGATTTGGACCGTCCACGCGAGCGTGAACAAATACGTACTGTCCAATCGCGGGCATGCGGATTGCCAGCGTGGCCTCCCGCACAGCACCGAGTCAGCGTGCCTTGCCACACAATGCGTTTCGGTTCGTCGGGGCTGCTGACAGGACGGTCCTACGTGTCACATTTTTTTTAAATTGTATTTTGACCCATAGTTTCTGATTTTTCTTTTAAAAACATCTCCCGAATCCAAAATTTTAACCATTTTTTTCAAAATTATTTTCAATTTTATCATCCACCTATTTTTTTCTTAATTTTATATTAAATAAAAATTTATAGATTTAAAATTTATATTTTTGAACATTTTAAAATTAATCATGAATTAAATTTCGGATAGGAGTATTACATAAATATAATTAAAATATAGAATATTTGCATAGATGGGCCTAACCTAATAAATCCCTCTCGCTAAAGGCCCATTTTTATATATTATTCAACTTTTAACCTTTTCTTAAACAACGTCATCCAATCAGCACGGAACAGCAATGACGTGGAGTTTTGTTCGTACGAGGAAATCACCTAATTCATCTGTCTTAAGGGGAAGCGAGTATGACTGATTTTTATACTCGCACCCATTGACTTTCAAATTGCAATCCTAAAAAAAGCTTACTCGCGTCTAGAACGAGGAAGAAGCAAAGCTGCCGCGTGTGTCCATACACAAGTCGGTAAAGATGGATCCCACATGGGGGTATATGTTATGTGAAAACTTGCGCGTCGTTTTGGGGAGTAAAGCGCGTCGTTTTGGGTAGTAAAGTTCAACTATAAGTACGAATTTGTTTCTGTTGTTTTTCCTCACTTATTTCTCACTGAACCCGCCTTTCAGGCTTCTACTTTTTGGTCAGCGTGCGCTTTCGGTTTCCTTTTTTTTTTTGAAGAACACTTACAGTTCATTCACTTTGAGATAATCGCGTCAAGAGCTTGAAAATCAACATGGCTTTTCTGCTGTTCTTCAATTTTGCACTCACATGCCTTGATGTTCTTGCATGGTATTTGATTTCATTATAATATATATACATATATATGCTTCTTCATTTTCTTCTTCCTCTCTCTCTCTCTCTCTCTCTCTCTCTCTCTGTATATATTCTGTAGTAGAGTCGTGAATATTTGCTTTTAAAGTGATAGAAATCTTTCTTTCTTTTTGCTTTGCATTTGTATTGTTCATTCTTCTCTGTTGAAATATTGAAATTTCAGTTTGGATGATACTGTATATATATGATATGAGATACGGAAATTGAATTTAGACATGGGTTATCAGTTTATTACATTGGGATTATTGAATTCCAGATGGGTTTTTGTCTAATTTGCAAAGAAATGCTTGGATTTGCTTGCATGGAACATGGTGCATTTTTCTTTATTTTTCATGTTTATGTCTGAGAAATTTTCAATATATTCTCCCTTAAGTTTCCTTACATTCTAAGCAATGAATGATTCCATCTACCAGATAAAGATGATGAAATTAATTTCTTCATAAAAAAAAAAAAAAAAAATCCTCTCAATTTCCCACTAAAGGGAAAAAATCACTGTTCATTTGACTGGGGTGATCTCCCCCAATATCCTCTTAAAGTTTCATTTTTTATCATTTTCTACTATCATGGTCCAGTCTAATTTATTTTGGTTTTGATTTGTTTTCAGGCCTCTCATTGCACTGGGTTATCCTCTGTAAGTTTACAATTCTCAATCTGCATTTGTTTTTGGTTAAAATGGTGAGATTTAGGCATATTTATGTTGATGATGATTGTTTATTTGCTGGATTTTAGATACGCTTCTATCTGGGCAATTGAGACTAATTCAAACTCGGACATCATGAAATTGATCACATACTGGATTGTCTTTTCCTCGATTTCACTATCTGAACATGCTTTGATGAAGCTACTTCAGTGGTAATCTCTCCTGCTATATCTATCTATCTATTTATATGTTAATATTATAGTTGACATTTTAAGCTTTCTAAAAACAAAAGAGAAATCTCTCCGTTCCGGCTTCCACGACCGTTGTTCTTCAGGATACTTTTGCTTCCAAAATGCTAACTTGTCTTGATTTCACAAGATTGAACATTTCTAAATCCTAATAGGGAACTTCCATGTATATATTTCCAGGTATATGTAGTATTACTTTTAAAATGGACATCTTTGCTATTTTCGGAGATCTGGTCTATTGGGGTTTGGATCTTGGACATTAGAATTTCTTTCTAGTGATCAGGATTCGTCCCACTTATAGAGTAGGTTACCTAAACTAAGCCACATTACCTTGATTTCTTTTGTTTTCATTCCGATATTTTTGCTAATTCATCATATTGTGCAACAGAGTTTTAGCATTTGCTTATCATTCACACCTTTCACTTTATATCTATATGTATATGTATCAGGGTGTCTATCTGGCCATACATCAAACTAGGGATCATCTGCTATATGTTGATACCACAATTTGATGGTGCACTTTATATCTATGAACATTTTGTGCATCCATGTCTTCATATGGGACCAAATGTGCTGATAAATTTATTTGCAAAGAGGAAAGACTTACTCAAAAGAGATGACTTTCTGGCTGAGGCAAAGAAATATGTAGAAGAGAACGGGTACGAAGCTTTAGAGAATATAATCTCTAACAAGGTAAATAAGTCGATTTGTTGAGTCCTTATTAAGACATACTTTGATAGGATAATTTAATTGCAATTCTTATTAGTCCTTGTCATAGACTTCTCGTTGCAGGCGTGAAAAATTTCACTATGATGTAATTTTGATTATCACTGGATACCCGGTTTGTGAAATTATGATCTTGCAGTGCATAATTTCTCTTATGCTATTTTATGGCAGCGATCAAAGCAGAATGAGACTCAGAAAGATATCAAGATTGTGCAAGTTACTGAGAAGAAGGAATTGGCATCAGTTAAGGTCTATTTTCATGCTTCTTTGGGAATCATATTACTCTGCATTTCATTAGGAAAAACAGATCTTTAGGAAATGATATTTTACAAGATGAAGTCGATATATATATATATATATATATATAGATGGATTTAGTTTATTGAAGACTTTATGACTACACATGAAAGGAAACTATTTGGAGAAAATTTACAAAACTAACTAGATTCATAATCTCACTAAGATAAAATTTTAATACCTCATTTATTTTTCAACAAACTCTCCGTGATCAGATAGTTAGTACATTTTTTTCTTCTATTTTTAACATGTAAATTTAAATCTTAAATTATGCATTACTTGTTAGAGATATTAAAAAAAACTCATTTCCTTGTTAATACTTGGTAACTTAGAATTTTAACTTTCATAAATTTTATTTACCAATGGGGTTTAAGGACTCCAACGATTCGAGAATAAATGAGTTGTGAACACTAATTCCGCTCATACCCACCTAAAAGTTCTTGTTCTGAAACGAACAGATTCTAATTCTAGCTAGCATAAATTAAGATCTGTAATTAGATCTGAAACTAAGAAGATTAATTAAAGATGCCAACATAATTTTCTTGATTTCATGCATTAACCCAACTGTGCACTTTATGAACAATGTTGGAAATGGAGCATTTTATTAGTACATTTATACTATTTTCCTGCCCTTTTATTGAAAAGAAAAGTACCTTGTTCATCAAGTCTCAGCTCAACCTCACAATTTTTACAGGTGGAGATCAAAGAAGCATCAGCAGGAAAGATACTGGCTAGAGAACCTCACGCAAGACAAGAAAAATCTCAGTCTCCTCAAAAAGATCCAGAAGCAGCAGGAGTGCTACCGGCAAGACAAGTTCAGGAAAGACCGGTGTCTCAGTCAGTCCAGATGGGCTCTTCATCTCCATCCTCATCGCATTTGCAGGTTCCCCAAAAAGAGACTAACACAATTCAGTCCAATCAGGCTCAAACATCTCTACATTCTAAAACTAAAGAACCAAAAGTGGTGGCAGAAGCAGCCGGAAGAGAAATTCCTGAGCCAAAGCAAGTGCAAAAAGAATGGACATGTGCCATATGTCAAGCGAGATGCACGAGTGAGAGCAACTTGAATGATCATCTTCAAGGGAAGCGACATAAGGCTGCTCGCGAGCAATTGAAAGCAAACAACAAGGCACCGAAAGGGAAAGCTTCTGCAACTCCATTGACAAAGAAATCTGATCAGCCAACCAAGGCAGGACCCGAGAAATGTTCTTCAGATAAAAATCAAACCAAGAACTCTGAAAATCTGTCCAGGAAGGAGAAAGAGAAGTGTATGGCACGCGATGCGGGTAAAAATAAAGAGAAAAATGGGAAACTCCAACAAGAGAAGGAGATGGTGAAGAAAAAAAGGGAGTCCGAAAATTGGTGTGCCATCTGCAACGTGAGCTTGACTAGTTCAGTAGATTTAAACTGTCATGTAAATGGAAAGAAGCACTTGGCTCAACTTAGGAAACTGATGAGTCGCATGGCAGGTGGGAAATCGGAATAATGGAACCAGAAAATTTTCTGAAGGCGGCTGATATATCATACACTTCACATACACCGGCATATATATATATATATATATATATATATATATATATATACACACATACAGATCCACGTATATGTCTGTTATGTATGTGTAAATGTTTGCCTCTTGTGTTCTCATTTATGAGTTCATGTATTCTTACGTAACTCTCACAGTTTTTTTTTTTGGTTAATTAACTTTTACAATTTCTCCCTCAAAGAAAATCAACATCTTTAAACGACTAATGAAAACAGCAACATACACTTAATATTACTCACAGTGAATTAACTTTTACAGTAGACTTGAACTCTCATCTCTAAATCAGTTCATAGCCTTCAGTGAATTAACCAAAGAGAATTAACTGTTTTTTATTTAAAAATTAATATTGCTTTTGAGAATTTAGATCTACATAACATTTATGTAAAACCCAAAAGAGAGATTACTATCATCTGAATTGAATGAAACTTGGAATTCTACTTAATTATTTTTAATTTAATTTGATTGGCATGTAAAAACATAAAGATTGCAAAATACTTAATAGTTTGTTTTATGAAAATTCAAGCGTCTTGAATTATGACTTAAACTGAACATTTACAAAGGAAAGGAAAAACCTTCTTGATTTATTACTGAGAGTCGGTTCTAATTATAAGAGATTGATTATTTTTATGTTAACTTCTGGGAAGTTGGCATCGCAAGGGATACTCCACTGCCACTCGGTAAGTCCTTCCATTGTTGAGTTACCGTCTTGATCTGAGTGTAAAAGTTAACTCCAGCTTTACCTGCAAATTCAAGATTACTTGGCCATTTACAAATTCTTCATTTTGGTAATGTTGGAGGGCTAGGTTTTTGAGGAATATTTACCATAGAAGTTAAGATCACCAGCAAATGATGCCTTCGATCCGGTAAACGAGAAAAAGGGCAATGGAACTGGAATAGGAACATTGATCCCAACCTAGGAAAGAATAACTCATGTTAGAGATTCATATGGAATTATAGTGCAATTTGACGTCGTTGCAGGTGTGAATGATATGATTTGAACTTCTGCAGTTTGCAAGCCCTAAACTATGCTATGTTCATTTCTTATGTAGATTCATTCACCTGTCCTGCTTCAATCTCCGTCTGGAATTTCCTTGCAGCCGCACCAGATGAAGTGAAGATTGAAGCTCCATTACCATACCTGTAACAGAAAAGTAACTCGCATGTACAAAATATACAACAAAGAACAAAGTTAATGAGAGAAAGATGCAGTCATTATAATGAAGGAAATACTTGTTTTTGTTAACAATTTGTATGGCTTCTTCCAAGCTGTCAGCCTGAATATCCATAGGGAGCCAAAAAGGATACAGGTTAATACAATCAAACTAACCAACATGGATAAAATTAGCATAGAAGCAGGAGAGTTATTAAGAAAAACAAACCTCCATGCAAATAAGAACCGGTCCAAAAATTTCCTCCTGCACATTGCCAAGGTTCAAGGTTTTACAAGTCGTTAATAAATTGTATAGTATATATTGATACAAGGGCCAATTTCCAGACAAAACTGGAAGTATCAGTTCTGCAGATCCCAGTCCAAATAGAGGCAGCAAAAAAGGATCATACAACACTTAGTAATACCTTGTAGCACTCCATGTCAGCTGTAACCCCAGATAAGATGGTAGGACCAATGAAATTGCCATGCTCGTATCCAGGAACCTGTTTGTTACCCATGAATGATAAATGAATAACAAGTCCATGCTTTTTATTTTCTTTTTGCTAAAAAATAACCAAGTCCATCATGAAAGTATAAACTAGAAGGAACCTTATCAGCTAACAAGGAAACCAAGAGAACCAGAAGGAACCTTATCAGCTAACAATAAAACCAAGAGATAATCAAGGACCAAATACACAGATGTGTCAATGCTGAAACCTTCTTTTCCTGTTCTAAATTAGATAGCTATCCTTTTTCTCAAATAGATTCCTCTTTTCCGTCTTTCTCAAAACATCTTTGTCTTTCTAGTGAAGGGAAAGAACACAGAGAAGGACCATGAAAGAAAAACATTGTTCTTCCACTTAAATATCTAATTATAAATGTGTTTTCAAGTAGCCATATGTGAGATACCTTCCTGATTTATTCATATCTGATAAATCAGATGGTTTACAAATTTTGAAATTATCCCATTACTTCCATTGAAAATTTTAAACTTCTAGTGAAACACAGAGGACAGAAGATATAAGTTGTCATTCATATCAATGCATAATCGAAACAGATTGTGGCAGGAAAATGAAGAAAGGAGCTAATATTTGTCCTGAGGTAGCAACACCACGTTCTCCCATGATATTGTCTGTTTTCACAGATACACCTATCTGGAGGGGATGGAGATCAATGGCCAAATATTAAAGGGAATAAATAGTTGAGAGAGAAAATCAGTCTATTTTATGTAGCTAATTTCTGAAGATGCATCATGGCCACCAACCTTGAATTGTTAAAAATTCAACACTTCGGAGAATCATGAGAGCAGGGCCGGACTCTCCTTTTTCTGAGGATGAGATTTTTGAAGCCCTTATGAGTTGCAAAAGGGATACGGCACTTGGGCCTAATGGTTTCAACATGAGCTTGATTCAACAAATTCCAAATTCGTTGAATGAGGATACGACTTTGTTGTTTATGAGTTCCGTTAAAACAAATCCTTTGTGTCCAGCTTCAAGTCCACATTTTTTCTCCTCATTCCAACAGTTGTTGGGCCCTCAAACATAAAAGAATTTAGTACCCATCACCTTGTACATAGCCTTTATAAGCTTGTGATAAAGGTCCTGACAAGAATATTGAGCATGGTGGCGGAAAGGATTGGAGGGGAATGTCAACATGCTATTGTAGAGGGAGTGCAAATCCTAGATGCAGCCCTTGACTACAAGAAGGGGTGGATCACTTAATGAAAAAAGAGCTGAAGGGATGATTTGTAAACCAAATACAGAGAAGTACAATACCGTGTCTTGGAGTTTCTTTCTGTCTATGATGTACAGAATAGGTTTTGGCACCAAATGACATTCATGGATAAAGTGTTTACATCCAAACTCTTTCGTTTGTTGTTATGGCAAAAAGTGGTCATTCAGATTTCTTTACGTATTCAAGGTCGTGAGGCAGGAGACAATCTCTCCCGACTTCTCCATATCATTGTAATTGAGGCACTAACAGCCTGATGAAAGAGCTAGAGACAATCAACAGCATGCAAGGGCCTAAGGCAGGAGACAATCTCTCCCGACTCTCTGTATCATTGTAAGTCACGCACTAATAGCCTGATGAAAGAGCTAGAGACAATCAATTCTTCAGGAACCTGATTGTGAGAGAAAACAGTGACTCTGAGGAGGTAACCCGTCTACTATTCTCAGACAACATGTTACTACTTTGCAAGCCTGAACTGCAATTTGTACCGAACAATAGGTGTGCTCCTATGCTTTCAAGAGGTTTTTGGTCTCAAGGTCAACCTGACAATGTCCGTATTGGTTCAGATTGGAGACAGAGAGCCAACTTTGCTAGAATTTTAGGGTACAGAGTAACCTATCTTCCTTTGAAGTACGTGGGTTTACCCCTGAATGCTAAATTTAAAGACACTTCCATTTGGGATGACCCCATCACCAATAAATTTGAAGCCAGACTAGTGGGATAGGGAAAACAAATTCTATTGAAGGAACTGACTCTATCAAAAGCACACTTGTCAACTTGCCAATTTACTTTTAATCCAGTAAGTGTGGCAAGAAATTAAAAGCTACTCAATATTGTCTCCTATGGGGTCACTTGAATATATCACTTGAAACTAGTTAAAAATCCATACCACAAAGGTCAATGGTCGAGTTCAACAGACCCTTACAAGGAAAGTGACTCTGGAAATTCATGAGAAAGAGAATGCCTGTCGTGGAGGGTGATCAGAACCAGGTTTGACTTCAACAGAATAGGGAGATACTCCAAAAGTTTAAGAAGTCCATATGCATTGGGTTATGGAAAGAATTAGAATGAGAAAAGAGGAGATTCAAGAACACATATTGTGGAAGGTTGGATCAGGTGAAAAGGTGACATTCTGGTTGGACAAATGAATTGATGGTGGTACTCTAGGGAATTGTTTTGCCACCGATTTTTTCTTTGGCTTGTAATAAAAAAGAGGCAAAGGTGGCAGAAAAGCTTCTCAAATTCAGTGAGTAATAGAGTCTGGATGTGGACCTGATAAGGAATCTCAATGACTAAGAGGTGAATGAATATGCAAATTTAATCTAGTGTCTGTCTCAAAGGGAAAGACTTTTAAACCCTTGGATGAAACTGTTTGGGGACTTCGCTTGAAAAGGACAGTCTCTAATTACTCCTATTTGGCCAGAAGTGGAAGGACCGATGAAAATTTCACATGAAAACTAATTAGAAAGGCCAATACATCTCCTATAGTAGCTTTTTTTCCTGGGAAGCAGGCAAGAGCTAAGTATAAAGAATCTGATCAAGAGGGAAGGTCATCGTGATTGATGCTACTTATGTAAGAGAGCTGCAAAGCCTGTCAACCATCTTCGCCATTGGTGTCTTTTCTCTTACCGGCTTTGGTGCTTGACTTATTGTCTTATGGGATTGAAGTATGCTGTGGCAGGTTCAGTCAAAAAAGGGATACAGGCTTGGAAAGGCATCTATAGGGATGAACACTACAACAAGGATTTAGGCCCTATCCCTTTGGCTACTTATGAGCTATTTGGAAATAAACAAATACACGAACCTTTAGAAGCATAAAATGGTCTTTTGACAGAAATAAAAATACTTAGTTCTAGACTTTAGGGTTTTTTTAATAAATAAATTAAGGTCCCAGATTTTACATTGCAAATGTTATACTTAAGGTTGAAAGGTTAATCAATAGGGACAGAATAAAGCTATTTTGAGTATGGTGTAAGAACTTCAATTTATGTTGCAATTGTTTTATTTAGGGGCAACGACGTTAACCCAGAATCCATAGGATCCTTATGCTAATCAGCAATCATGTATCAGAACTTGAAGTTTTAAAATGCTATTCTTTGTAATTTTCTATTTCAAAAAAATCAATGTACAATGGAGGATCTTGTAGAGCAGCGATGAAAGATGGTAAAAGCATAAACAATATAATACAATACCATTATATTTCTCCCGTCGAGCAGGAGTCTAGCACCACTTTCAACGCCAGTTTGAATTAATCTGCATATTCGTTCCTTAGCCTGTTGAAATGAAGATTAGCGAACAAATGAAAAAAATGAGTTTAAACCTACTTCAGAATATGGGGAAGCAAATTTAAATGATCCGAAAGTTTAACTTTTTCTATCTGCAACTAGGGGTGGAGGTTTCTGCATATCAAATAATTCAAAGCAAGAGCTCTTCTATTTACTTATATTTTTAAAAAGAGAGTCTACTTCTAATTATTGGCAGTGAAAAGCCACGAGTTACCTGTTTACTAATCACTGGACCAAGGTCTGCTTCTGGTTCTGTTCCAGCAGTGACTTTTAGAGCTTTAGCACGGTCAACCAATTTATCTTCCCTGAACAAAGGTGATCTCCATTTAATGCTGTCATTAATCAAACTCTGAAGTCCTATACTATGATAGCATTTCAGAATATTGTATACATGGTACTTTGTTTTTGCTACTACTATAATGTTCTACAAGACCTTCAAGAGCTTTAGATTCCAATTCAGAAATGACCCTTTCACTACTTTTGCAGTTTGTAGATCGAGGAACTATTAAGGAGATAGTCTAAAAAGTTTGGGAGAAAAATTATGATTGGCAATTCTACAGAACTACAACTTTTCAATACATGTTCATGAATCTTTTGAGATAACTCATGCTTCAGTCTTCAAGGTAAATTGAAAAATAAACACACAAAACAAAATACCATGATTTTGAGCCACCAACAAAAACCACTGTGCTGAGGGCCATGCACCTTTGTCCCGCAGCACCAAAACCAGCAGCCACTAGAGCATTTAATGTAGCATCCAGGTTTGCATCAGGTAAGACAACCCCATGATTTTTGGCCCCCATATTTGACTGAGCACAAGAGTTATCATATTCATATGTATTGTTTAACTCCAAAACAAGTTCAATCAGCTTTTATTGGAATGCTAAGGAAGCAAGCATATTATAAGAAAGACATACAACATATTCTACACATGCACCTACCTGAACACGTTTTCCTTTAGCTGATGCTCTTCCATATATATGCATGCCAGCCTTTAACAATAGCATCAAGTAAGAATTACAAGACATAACAATTAATAGATGAAAATAGCTGAGATAAACAACAGGAAGAAAGTGTTGATGGGTTTACCAACAAGCATAACCTCTATGATATTCCTAGAAAAAATTGTTAGTGCCAAGTCGTAATTAAAATGAAAAAATTCAACCAGAAATTTAAAAATATCTGCAATTGTTAAAAATGCCCATAATGGAAACCATTCCCAGGGAGGAGGAAGCATGCGTCTGATTTTTTGTTTTTTGCTTTTTGTTTTTTGTTTTTTTGCTTTTTAAATTGTATGAATTACTTGTAAACTCCAAATGATAATGGAATGGACAGAACTAAAAAATTTAGAAACTGGATGCAATAAAAATATTATTACGTTTTAGATTATTGAAGTTCTTTTATTCTTTTCTTTTTAATCTTTTTAAAAACTACTCCTTCTCCAAGAAGTTTATGCATTCTCAATTCTTGCTAACACATAGAGACCTCATATGAACTTTACTTTTTTCAATTAATGAAGTCAAAATAACAGAAAATATGGGGTCAAAATAAAAATTTGTCTATAGATATTCTTATACATAAAGAGCTTTACATGCAATGATTGTACTTTTTCAAGTTCCATGGAGACATTGCCCCTGTTCGGAAGGTAACTCAATAATCGCTATTACTGAGTGGGTTTCCATCAAGCTAGAAGAAATTAGCTCAAAACAAAATTCCAGACATGAACTTTCGAGAGTTACAATCTTATTTTACCTCAAAGTGATAATTATAAAATTTTTAAATCAGTTAATCTGTCTCCTATTTCCCTCACTATTTTGAAGTTCTCTCTCAAATTCAAATTCTTTGTTTCATTGTATATTTTCTATACTTAACTTCAATCTATTAAATCCATTTCCATTTTCTTTATATATGATATTCTCTAGCACTCACCGTCATTTAATATCAACTGAAAGATTCCTTATTTTGTTAAAATATAATTTTTTTTACTATTAAATTAAACATAAAAAAAATTCACGTGCATCACAAAACGCCATAAAGTACCATAAAAAGGGACCAACAAGCAATGCTAAATAGTTCTCTATGCTCGCAAAAATAAAATTGAACAGTTCTATTCTAAGATTCTTTTAGGACTATTTGACTGGCAATTTGAAGAAACTTCCAATAAGCTATGCTATAGAAATTTTTTCAAGAGTTTTCCAGTTCCTTTCGCAAAATCTTTTCTCTTTAGTTTATTTCAAGATAATTCCATAGGTAGACTCAAGCAATAAGCCATTTGCTTTTTCCTCAAATTCTCATCAATTCAAGTTAAAAGGATTAGCCCAACCTTCGGCTGTCCATGAACAGGATATATTTCTGATGGACTGAGTATCCTTCACAAGTAGTGGTAAAAGGATATAAGGTTTTTTTTCAGGGAATCGCCAACAAAAATGCACACTAGTTCCAATTGATCATAATCACTCCCTAAATTCCAAAAAATTGTGCATCACAAATAGGAAATAATCCTTTTCAATCATGTAATCATATTAAGGAGCTAATAGAACACTGAAAACTGAAAAGCAAAACTAAGGGATGCTTACAGTATTAGAGCCAACAAATGATATAGCCCTGATATTATCATCATCGCAAATAGCATTCACAATATCCTGTCATAAAGTAAAATGCATTAGATAAAATAAAGAAATAGATAAAAGCATTAGGAAAATAATTCATTTGGCGATAATTTAGCACCATCAATCAACTCCAATATTGAGATTATTTAAATAAAGAAGACTTTATTCTTTTCCATAAGGCAGATATGACAGCCCCTTCATTACAGTATACTTACAACTTCAACTGAAAGCTTGAAAACCTTAAACGACCAAGGATCAATTAGAATCTTACATAGTTTAGTGCTTCTAATTTATTTAATTACTGAGAGCATATTGGACCATTTTCGAAAATAAAGGTCCAGAGATAAAAAGCTCTCGAATCAAGAGCATACACTGGTGCCATGTACAATGTTTAGAACACCATCAGGTAAACCAGCCTCCATGGCTAACTCAGCAAGCATTATAGATGCACCTGTATATAATGAATTGAGCATTAATAATTAGATGAAGCAACAAACTGCAACACAAAAGATAGTCCAATTGCTATTCTTTACACATTTTATCTCAAAAAAAAAAAAGGATAGTTCAACTGTAGCAGCAAACAAAAATATAGCCAGCTAAAAATCAAAACAAAGAGCCAACAAGCAAGAGAAGAAAACCCAAAAGATTAACAATATCAAACAATTAGCCATTTGATGGTGAATGGAAGTTTTAAATCCCATGAGTCCTCTAGCATCACACGTAAGATAAACCAATAGTCAGCTCAGAAATGTTAAGAGGATATTTTGCTCAAGATTTCTGAGAATCAAAATCTTAATTTTGGTGAAGGTAGCTAAGAAACTGGAAAACAAAGATCAGTTAAATATTTGTGACAAATATAACAAGATACAAGGAAAACCTAGTAAAAGAAAAGAAACGTACTTACCGAACCAACACTAGCAAAAATTTTAGCACAACATTTTCTCAGTATGGCCCTATTTTCTCAGTAAGGCTCCAGATGTAGAATTTGCAGATTCAAAGACACCATTTTCACAATAGTGCTAAAAAAATGTGGAATTTAAGATATTTGAAACGAGTGCTTTGATGCAAATCAAGTCAAACATAATAGATAAATGCAAACAGCTCTAAGATTCATACAATAGTGACTACAACCAAAAGGGTGAAATGCTTTCAGACATTACAAATGAAAATCCTTGAAGTATGAAAATGCTCACCAGGATCCTTTTCTGATGGCTTTAAGACAAACGTATTACCACAAGTAATGGCTATGGGAAACATCTGTAGAAAGATAATAAAAAACAAAGTAGTCCTCAGAATTAGCATTTTCAACCTCAAGTTCAGTAAGAAAAAGACATTTTAAACCTTAAGGTGTAATGACCAAATAAAGCATTTAACGTAAGTATATAGATCTAATACATAAAAATAGTTGATCATGGAAAGACAACATATAAAAAGGAGAAAACTTTGGCATGCTCACCCATAAGGGAATCATTGCTGGAAAGTTGAAGGGACAAATTCCAGCACAAACACCAAGTGGCTCCCTCATACTGTATGTGTCAATTCCACTTGATACATTGGGGACATACTCTCCCATTTGCAGAGTTGCCATGCCACAAGCATGTTCCACCACCTCTAGACAAGGAAAAAAAAATGAAAAAATGCACCATTAGGAAAGGAGCTCAATCTTCTCTCTGACTCATGATTGGTAAAAACTACATGAGGAGAACAAACATACTGACCTAAGCCACGGAAAACATCCCCCTGAGCATCCTTCAAAGTCTTTCCCTGCTCAGTTGTAATGCTCATGGCAAGCCTATCCTGTAGCAACTTCCGTGAACATATAACACAAAAGTGTCTACTCCCAATGAATAAACAAAGTAGGGGAGTCAAAACAAAATCTATGACTTGCTTACTGTATTTCTGCGAATAAGCTCCTGGAGCTTGAACATGACCCGTTGTCGTGTGGTAACTGGTGTGTTACGCCATGATGGAAAAGCCTGCTTAGCTGCTGATACTGCTGCTTTAAACTCTTCATTAGTAGTCAAAGGAACTTGTGAAACAACTTGTTGCGTTGCCTACAGAAAATTAAAAATATGTTGAAACCGAAAGAAAGACAGGTTACACCACTAAATCACAAAAAATTAAAACAGACAACATGATAAAATGAGACAGTTTACACACTTACAGGGTTTATAACATCAATGAATGCTGATGATTGTGAATTGACAAAAGAACCTCCAATGAGATTGGGAACCCTCTGGATGAAGATACAATCAATCAAATACCATCTGTTAACAATAATAAAACCTAACTCAAGACAATGCAACAGTAGTGTTTCTAGGTTACAACAAAATAAAATTGGTCCACAGTGTATTCAGGAAATACAAGTCTGTTCTGACTGCGGCTTTTTTTTCTTTGCAGATGTACTTGATCACTAAACAAAAGCAGCATGTAAAAACAAAGTTAATTCGTCCCTCCTATCTACTTCTCTGCAATCAGGCATTACCTAACAAAGTCACCATGAATCCTGTTGCCTCCATGTGTTTCCTCTGAATCGTCATATTCTATGGTAAGTGAAACATAAGTTTCCAATTGTTTTCTTTCTTTTTTTAAAAAATACTATATATCATCAACAAGATTTGATTTCCCATGGCCAATATAGTCACATAAAGGCTCAGACAAGTGGAAACTCAATCATGGACGCAAACTTGCAAATCACATCCTTTTCTATCACATTTTCTCGGTAAACAAACACGAAATACGCATACAAATCGCCACACACACCAACACCAACTAACCGGAGGATTATGCTTCCTAGAAGACGGCTCAGCTGCCGTGGAGAACTTCAAGTCTCCCAAAGCGAAAATCTGAGGCCTCAAGGCCTTCAGATTCCTTGCTGTGAGAAAAATCACACAAAAAATTAAAAATAGAAGTCAGCTAATTTTCAATCCATTTTATCTGAAAACACGATCAATATTGATCAGCAGATTATTTCACAAAAACATCTCTTCAACTCCTTTCATGTCACCTCGCTGAAACGAAAATCGCAAGATCATTTTCTTTCTTATTGGTCCTTCTTCACTGATTTTTGACGAGAAATGTTGTTCGACTCGGCGCTTTTAACTTATATAGATGAACAGGTAGTGACTGTATCACCAGTTTTTACTTCCATGATAACGAGGCTGCTTTGAATTAGAACCGTCGGATATAGAACGTAAGTTTAAGGCAATAAATAAACGGTCGAGATTTCATGATGTGGATGGCAGCCAACCTCCCTACGTTATATAAGGGCAATAAATTGTAACAAAAAAAAGGTTAGCTGTATAAAACTATTTATAATATTTTTTTGAATATATATTGGCAACAAAAATTAAATTACATACGCAATAAAATATTAATAAACTAATGCATAACTGCTCTTCCTTATCCTGGTGTTTTCATCACGTGCTTACCGATAATTTTGTTTTTTTTTAAAAAAAAAATTAAATTTCAAATTATAATGGAGAAAAATATTGCCAATCAAGTTTTGTATGTTTTATAATGTCTATTTTAAATGCTGTAGTAACACCTTTTGTTAGTAATATTAATTTTTTAGATAATTTACATTCATTTTTAAACATTTTAGATTTACTCTTTTAAATCTATATATTGACTAATATATTTTTACTTTAAATATTGTTTTGATGCATTTATATATATATTATATTATATTTTAATTAAACAGTGATAAGATATTAATAAAATACATAATACATAAATTTTTTTTTTTTAGCTTAATTTACATGTAAACATATTTCTCTATATAATTAGGATCGAGTTTAGTTAAATTAATTTTTTAAAATCCTCTCTGAACCAGAATAGGTTTTGATTTTACAAGATGAACCTTACTCTGTTTCGACTTACCAGTTTATCAATTTACTCCCAGAGTCATGCGCTAATATTTGGGGGATGATTGACGCATCCTGGGACGAGCATCCATTGTCTTCCATGAGATTGGAGTAGCTGCTACTATGAAGTTTGTCAGAAGCTGTAAATAACGATTAGCGACTACTCTGTGATCGATTATATATTACTGCGATGTGGAGGAAGTCTGTGAATTCGAGTTTCTCTTTGAGGATCTTCTCGCCCTCTTCCTGGAGTAACCCTAATTGCACGTCCTTCTCCTCCTCAATTTCTTCTTCTTTGTCTTCGTCTTCGTCTTCGTCTTCGTCTTCGTCTTCTTCTTCCTTCTTCGCCGCCAACGGCGTCGTTTCGTCTCCTCTCTTTTTGTCTCATCCCTTCTATTCCTCATCATCGTCATCATCTGAGTCCGCATCAAAGTTTGCGCTCGTCAGATCCGATGGTATTCGTGCCTTTGCTTCTTCAGCTGCTTCTGCTGTTGACGTTTCATCGAGAGCCAAGGTTACGGCAGAACTGGTTCGTCACTATGCTCGATGTTACTGGGAGCTCTCCAAAGCTCGCCTCAGGTGCTTATCGCCATTCCCTCCCCCCCTTTTAATTTCTTGCTTTATTTTGTTTGATCTTCGTGTTTTTGTTTATTCTTTCTCGGTTTTGTTTTATTGAATTCAATTTAGGGATGTGTTGTTCATTCTTACCTAATTAACTGGAAATTCTCTTTGGGTTCTTCGCAGCATGCTAGTTGTTGCAACTTCCGGGACTGGATATGTTCTTGGGAGTGGGAATGCAGTTGATTTTGCAGGACTTTGCTGGACATGTGCTGGTACCATGATGGTTGCTTCCTCTGCCAACACCATGAACCAGGTTTTCCTCTCTTTTATTTGATATGTAAATTACTAGTTTTTTCTCTTATGTCTTTTGGCACTTCTCTTACTTTCTTTATGTTCTTTGAATATTTATTCGACGTATTTATAATGGGAAAACTTGGGTATTGTATCTTGAGAGCCCTGTTCTGTAGATCTTTATTCCCATAAGGTGATGGTTTCTGGCTGCAGCGAATATGAGTGCCAATCGCTTAGTAAAGCTAAAATGAAGAAGACATGGTTTGTTGAGGAAGCTTCTTGGCTGTAAATGGCAGTATCCATGTGAGGATAAAACACTACCAGATAGGAAGAACAACTGGACTTTGTATAGGAGCGTAATTAGGAATGACTTCAAAAGATTTGCTTGTCCTTGGCCACTACGTGATTGAAGTAGTGAGCTATGTTTCAAAATAAGTTACCAATCCACAGAGATTGAAGTAGAAGTTCAGGGAGAAAGAGTTACACAGATTTACGAGAATATCTCCATATAACAAGATGCCCCAGTCTGATAAATACTGCACACTCCTGGCCATTTGTATGAATGAGACACGATCCAACAGGGCACAGGCTAGCCTTTTAGTTATGGTACTGTGAATAGAGATTCTATCTTCTTTTTCATTGATTTTCCCAATCTTGTCCCCTGTCCAGCTGTTGATCTCGTTTAAGTTGTTGATTACTGGTATATTATTTCATGGAACTCATTCTAATTCAGCAAGTGTTTCAATATTATACCTCAAGGAACACTTAAAATTCCACACTCTTCACCATCAAAGCATCTTAACTGTGAATCATATTCTTTGAATATGATATCTATATAATGTGATGTATGGAAAACATCATAAGTTTGAGCGCTATAGTGTTTCTATTGATCAGTTATCATGTATATGCAAGTTGGATATCTAGATTGCTCTGATTTGAATAAAGCAGAGGATGTCTTTGTTCTTCGTATAATAATAATTATTATAAAAATGATGGACAATGAAACTTATTTATTGATTCAAGAGGGCCCCAAAGAGGTAAATTCCGGCTTATGCATATTCTAATCAATATGAATATGAATATGTATCTATTCAGATGTGCTTGAGCGTTCCTTTCTCATCACGAAATTGTATATAACCTTTTTTCCTGTTTACTCGTACCATATATCTATTTTTAATAGAATTTTGTTTTCATTTTTTAGGTGTTTGAGGTAAATAATGATGCCAAGATGAAGAGAACAATGGGGAGACCTTTACCTTCAGGACGGATTACTGTACGTCACGCTGTTACTTGGGCATCTATTGTTGGTTGTACTGGAACTGCTCTACTGGCGAGCAAGGTGATTCCTACTTTTTTTTATGTTACTTGGGCTGTCAACTATGGCCTTTTATCTGTTTGTTTTTAATTTACTTGGAGTTGAGGAACTAAGTTAGTGTTTCAATGACAAGGTTGTTACAGGCTAATATGTTGGCAGCTGGGCTTGGAGCATCTAATCTTATTCTTTATGCCTTTATCTACACTCCATTGAAGCAGATTCACCCAATCAATACATGGGTTGGGGCTGTTGTTGGTGCTATTCCACCCCTGCTTGGGTAATTTTATCTTTCACATAACTACATGTCTCTTCATTATGGCTTCTTTTATGAGCCTATCAACAGTTTCCTTGAAGATAAATTTTTCTTTTGGGGGACTAGGAGGAATCATGGCGAGAAAATTGCAGTTATTAATATAGTTTGAAAAGATTAATATACACTTCAGCGATTTCAGGCTGAGCCATTGTCAATATACTTGCAGATACCAGAAGAAGATGCCTTAGCAAGAATGTTCAGTGTTTGGCATTTTAATGCATGAACCTTTTCATATTATTCTTATGGAATTTGGATGAAATTTATGTTATTTTGTAGGATATGATTCAAAACTAACACATGATTCATCCTTCCCCATGTGTATCTGTTCTGGGTTTTCAGGTGGGTTGCTGCTTCTGATCAGGTTTCCCTAAATGGAATGATACTTCCGGCTGCTCTTTACTTTTGGCAAATTCCCCATTTTATGGCACTTGCATACTTGTGCCGAAGTGATTATGCTGCTGGAGGGTGTGTATACATGGAGTGTCTATTTTGTCAAATATTCATACAGAAACATAACCAGTGCTTTTCATCAATCTTTCACCTTGTCATGTGATCCATATGTTATTTAACTTAGTATGGAATCACATTTTCTTTACTTTATTACTTTCGATGAAAACTATGTTAAGATTCGAGTTACCTCACTTTTAAAATTGTCACTGGTAACTCTTTCTTCCAAGAAGAAAAATTTTACTGCTAACTACCCCTTTTAGAAAAACTGCCTTTCTGATTTTTTATTTTTTATTATTGCCTTCTCAGGTTCAGGATGTTCTCACTTACTGATGCTTCTGGCCAAAGAACTGCTGCAGTGGCCCTGAGGAATTGCCTATATCTGGTCCCTTTAGGATACTTTGCTTATGATTGTGAGTCAGTTTACTGATTACTTCCTCAAATTGCTATTTCAGTTTTGCTTTTTGAAGTGACATAGACTCTTAGTTGTAAAATATATTACTAATTTAAAATAATTTTGGAAATGCAGGAATGTTTAGAAGTATTAATATGTTTTTTTCTTTTTATTACCTTAATAATTTAGTGTTGGGTTACTCGAAAAAAAAAAAGTATAGGAAAAAACAAACCTAATTTTTATGAGGGAAAAAGAATAATATTATAAATAAGCCACCAAGGCTGTGCCATCTAT